TTTTACTTGTGTTCGCGGAAGAAATTAACGCACCGTTGGAATATTTTTACTACACCGAATTTATTTATTAAAAATATTTCTTAAGAACTAGTTATGATAATATGACTTAACCTAAATTATCATTAAGTGTAAATGAGAGAGAGATAGATTCTAACTGTACACATGCATATGCACCATGCCACCATAAACCTTAGGAGGAGGTCATACACACACATAGCTATCTTACATGTGGCAAGCAAACATGCTGTACTTGCTTATCAGTCTGAGTAAAGATTACATCCCATAATCTAACTCCACCATAATACATGCAGCAACTGAAAATTCTGTATTATTTATTTCTAAATCGAAGGTCTGCTCACTGCAGTTTCTTATCTTATTTAAAGACCCCCACATGCTTGCCCCTTTGGTGTTTGTATTTATTTGTGGACTGTACATTTGTTAACAATCCTTTCCACAACTTATCTCCTCTATTCAACTAAAATAATTTTATGAAATCTGTTCACTCATCCGTGAACATCTTCCCCGGGGCTTATTTACCCCCATAATTTCCATCATCTTTATAATCTACTTTCTGTTTCTTCGCGTGGTTTTGGTACATCTAAATTTATCCTAACTAATGCCCTTTTCATTTTATACTTATTTCTAATGTTTAATACTACTGCTATTAAAACGAATGTAAGTACTATAATTAATGATGCCATGCCGCTATGATGATGAAAATCCAGTCCTCTAAGGTTCAGCTTCGTCTTCTTCAACTCAGCGATTTCTTTAAGCAGTCCTTGCATGGTCTCCGTATGGTTAATCCTCATATCATTCAGTGGACCCATATTAAATGCAGTTATCTCGGTAACATTGGTGACCAACATCATCTTGTTATCCACAATTCGCTCCGACTTCAATTGTACCGGTGCAGAAATTAAAACACCTTTGATACGCAGAGTACATCCAGGTTGCAATTCCACTATCCCTTGAAGCGGCAATTTCATTATCATTTGACCTCCTGGATTACATTGCAGATGTGCCGACGTAATGTTGAAAGAACTAACTAGCCAACTGTTCGATGCATGTAACTTTGTCCATAGATGTTCAAGCTGTGTTGTTGTAAATTGACATCTGTGGCTATTGAGAGGCTTTATCGACGACACTTCACATGAGTTGTCATTTGCGTCTATCCATGGCCATCCTCCTTGACATACATATTTATTTTCTGCTAATCGCTGACATCCGTTTAGCTCCGCTTGTGACATCAAGTGGTAAGCATCCGCATTGTAATTGTATATAAGAAACTGGTTCCTCGATGTGGCTATCATATTCGTTCCTTTAAACATAAACGGAATCGGAATAACTTTGTACAGCTGAGACACTTGGTCATTGAAGAGAGGAATAGATACAGCAATCACCAAGTCATTTTTCAACGTAGTAGCTCTGGCAGTCAACAGTTTATAAATTGTCCGCAACTGATCATCCTTCTTCCCTGGCAGCTTCAAGTGGTCTGGTATATGCTGTCTGATGTGGTTTACTGCGTCTTGCAATTGTGCTGGAGTGAGGAGCGCTGTATTCAATTTCCCGTGGTTTATATCAATCAGCAACTCAATTATTTGCGCCTGAACCTTTTCATTCTCTTCCACCATTAGCTGAAGGTCTTTTGTCACCATGAAGAATTTTATGGACTCTTTATACACGAAATAATTCTCTTTTACGGCTTCCGTAATGTTGTTGATTCTCTCAACCATCCTCTTGAAATTAACATTCACCTCTTCCGTGGTTCTTCTCAACACATTTGTAGTAGATTCGACCACTGATGTCTGCTTTTGGATCAGGAATTTCAAATCATGCTGGTTGTTTAATAGGTTCTTCATATTTTCCTCCATATGTCTTCGATCATCCGCATCCATTGTCCCAAACAACACGTTCTGCAGCGATCCTATGAACTCCAGGGGAGCTCTCTTCACTCGCTGAACTTCCCCGGGGAACAAATATTGATTTGTTTTTTCCATATTTCCCACCTGTCTTCCTATCGCGTCTAGCACGTGATCGCACTGGCTCTCAAAGTCCATTAGCTTTGGACATGATGTTCTCATATCTTTTAAAAGTAACTGTGCTCGTTGTATTAACTCAAAATACGGCTGCATATTGAAATGTACTATTACATTCCATGTTGACGCTACTACATCCACGGAGCCACTGTAGTCCAGGTATAATGCTGCTGAATTATTCAGTGGGGTTATTGTACCGCCAATTTGTGCCGCTCTACTTGAATTCACCGACGCCATCAACAACACCGACAGGAACACTCCAACTGCTGAAACTTTGTTGTCCTTCTTAGTATTCTTCTGGACATCAACTTCTTCTTCTGCCTTCACCAATGGACAAATCTTTTGAACAGGCCGTTTTAAACATCCGTTTTGCAACTTTACTGATACTACCCGTACCTTGCCATCTTTGCCCGCAAATGTCTCGTCGACTCGACCAAGAGGCCATTTTGCTTGAGGCGATGTTTCCTCTTTGACAATCACCACATCTCCTTTCTGCACATTATCCTTTGGCTGGGACCACTTTCTTCTGTGTTGCAATGTGGTCAAATATTCATCCTTCCATCTGTTCCAGAAATCCTTTTTCATTTTCTGAATCAACTTCCATCGATTTAACGACCCGATGTGCTCCTCCGTATGCTCCGGGGCATCAACAAAGGATCTGCCTATCAAAAAATGTGCGGGTGACAACACGTCGAGTGACTCGATTTCTTCACTTTCTGCGTACACTAAGGGTCTTGAATTTAACATTGCTTCAACTTGGCATAGCAGCGTACTCATTTCTTCGTACGTTAATTTTGACTCTCCAATTACTCTATTAAGGTGAAATTTCACTGATTTCACACCTGCTTCCCAAATACCTCCTTGGTGAGGTGCCCCAGGTGGAATAAATTTCCATTGCACTTTCTCTCCTGTCAAAAAACTCATCGCTGAACTGTTGTTTTTGACCGCTGCCTTAAAATCTTTATCCAATTTTCGACTGGCACCTATGAAATTCGTTCCATTATCGCTGTAGATAACTGCGCACTTTCCTCGCCGGGCAAAAAATCTTTTGAGGGCTGCTATAAACGCTTCGGTTGTCAAGTCGCTAACTGCTTCTAGGTGTATTGCTTTCGTTGCCATACATACAAACACTGCGATGTATCCTTTAAAACATTTTTGTCCCCTGGTCCTTGAGCACTTCATTAGAATTGGTCCAGCATAATCCACGCCCGTGTGCAAGAATGGATGACTTATCATTACTCTGGGCTCTGGTAAATTTCCCATCAATTGCATAGTTGTTTCCTGTTTATAACGAATACACTTCGTGCAATGGCGGATCTGCTTCTTTATAATTCTTCGTACACCAGTTATCCAATATTTTCTCTTAATAGCAGTTTCAGTTAATCGATTACCTCCATGCAGAGTTAATTTGTGGTAATCGGAAACCATTATTTCAGCCAGATGGGATTTTTGAATAATCACTGGATGTCGCTGGTTGAATTGCATACTTGCATTCTGTAGTCGCCCTCCAATTCGCATAATGCCGTTCTTGTCAATAAATGGATGAAGACTCGCTATGCTGCTATTTCTGCTCACTAACTCCTTGTCTATCAGAGCTCTTCGTTCTTTAGGAAATTGTAATATTTGATGACGCCTCAAAATTACTTCCTCTGCACCCTCAATCTCTGCTACTGCAAGCGCTGCTGAACCTGGTTTCTTGCCTTTCACTATTCCAACAAACCTCAGAATGTAGGCAACAATTCTCTGTAGCTTTGAAAAACTCGAACATTTCTCGGTTATGGCATCTACAAAATGTTCGTCTCTGGTCGTTATAGCGCTCATCAATACTGGTTGCTTCTGTTGCGGCATGGAGGGCCACTCATCTGATGTCTTCTGAAGCCATTTAGGTCCACTCCACCAAATACATTCTTCTTCTATCGATAATACTCCTCTAGACCCCAGATCTGCTGGATTCTCTTTTGTGGGTACATAGCTCCATCTTGTGTTGTTCAACTCTCTAATTTCATTCACTTTGTTTCGAATGAATCTGTTGGAATTCTTACTGTTATTTATCCAGCTCAAAGCTATTGTAGAGTCGCTCCATGCAAAAATCGTAAATTGACCTCTCACGACAGGCACAACTCGTTTTAGCAGCTTAGACAATAAATGTTCAGCACATAACTCCAACTTTGGCAGCGTCTTTCTATTCTTGATTGGATTTACTTTCGTTTTCGACGTCAGTAAATGTATACTATTTTTGCATTTTACGTATACCACAGCCGCATATGCTTTTTCAGAAGCATCTGAGAATCCATGTATTTCCATCGACTCGATTGTAGATGTTGACACCCATCTTGGTATTCGTAGTGTATTTAGTGCGGTTACTGAATTTACAAACTGCTTCCATTCTGTAACAACATCTTCTGGGATAATTTCGTCCCAGCCTGTTTGCATAATCCACAATTTCTGCATCAGGAGTTTCGCTACAACTGTGACTGGAGTGAGCCATCCCAGAGGATCAAAAATTCTCGCAATGAATGATAAAATTTTTCTTTTGGTGAATTTTGAAATTTCTTCGAATTTCATATGAAATTTAAATTCATCCTTTACTGGATCCCACAGCAGTCCCAGAGTTTTTATGGACTCGTCATCTTCTATTTTTAAAACATCATTGTTTCCTCTGTCTGTTACTGACTCCAGGATTTCCTCGTTATTTGAGAGCCATTTTCTGAGGTTGAATTTATGTTTCTTCAGTTGCCTGGATACCTTGGTCACAATCGTTCTGCATTCGTCGATTGAATCCGCACCCGTCATCAAATCGTCCATATAAAAATCTTCTCGTATAATCTTTTTTATATGTGTGTCAACTTCTGGATCGTCTCCTATTCTAAACAGACTCCTCACTGCTAAGAATGGCGCTGCTGTTGTTCCATAAGTGACTGTTGTCAATTTATATTGCTGAATCGGCTGCTTTTCATCCTCTCTCTACAATATATACTGATACTCCTGATCAGCTGGATGCACTTTTATTTGACGGTACATCTTCTCTACGTCCGCTGTTATCACGTAACGCCACATACGCCATTGTAGCATGATGTCAAATATGTCCCTTTGCAACTTAGGTCCCGTGTACATAATGTCATTCAAGCTCTTGCCATTTGTTGATTTTGCCGATGCATCGAAGACTACTCGTACTTTCGTAGTTATACTTCCTTCTCTTACCACTGAATGATGCGGTAAGTAGTACTTCCCTTCAACTGCTGCTGACACCTTTTCCATATGGCCCAACTCTTCGTACTCCTTCATAAATTTTTTGTAGCTTTCATCAAGATTTGGATTACGACGTAGCTTCTTTTCTATTGACAATAATCTTGCAATTGCCAGACCTTTCGAATCACCAAGGGATTTGTCATCTTTCAGTGGTAATGACACCACTATTCTTCCTTCATCTTCCACCACCGTCGTTTCATTGTACGTTTGCATGCACCAGTCATCTTCGATCGTCATACTTGATGGTGTGTCCACCTCCTCCAACTCCCAGAACCTTTCCAAGTTTGTCACTGCCGAATGAAATCTTCTGGATTTATCTTTGAGCTGAACTTTACCAGACAAGATCCATCCCAGTTTTGTTTTTTGCGCAAAAGGTCCTTTATCTTTCACTTGACCTTCTTCCATTATTTCAGAATAAAGGTCGCCGCCAATGATCAAATCTACTCTGTCGCATTTATTAAATAAAGGATCTGCTAGCGTATAGTTGTTCCATTCTTCCATACTGGTTTCGAATGATTCTTCTGGCTGTGCACTCATCACTGTTGGCAGAACTAACGCTTCTGTGCGGAAGACATCATTACTCAGAAATCGAGGTTTCATATCCAACTTAACTTTGTATTTTGAGACCCCAACGGGTGTACTGCCAAGGCCATGAATCACGGTGTTATTTCTGATCCTCGGGAGTCCCAAAATTTGAGCGGCTTCCTCTGACACCGACGTCACTTGAGATCCTTGGTCGATAATAGCTCTCATTATCACATATTCTCCGCTTATTGCCCGCACTTTCACTTGTGCTGTTGCTAGCAATACAGTTGAATGATTCTCCTGTGTCACCATCGTTGCTTTTGAACCGCTGGAATCTTTTTTCGTCTCTGCCTTTTTTATGCCTTTTTGTTCGTTCACGTGTAGTAGTGTATGATGTCGTCCATTACACGTTTGACACCGCTTGTAGCTGAGACACTTTTTATCAGTTTTGTGATTCAAACAGAAGTAGCACATTTGAATCTCTTTAGCTTTGTTTTTTCTTTCGATTGGTGTCATTTCTAAATACTTTCTGCAGTCAAACATTTTGTGTCCCACTCCATTGCAGACATGACAAGACTCCTGCATTTGATTGACTCTTTTTTCGAATTTAAATTCTTTCTTTGCCACCAACGAGTCCCCTGCTGCTTCTAACGCTAAAAATTGTTGCTCTAAAAACTGGATCACATCTTCGAGTTTCTGGATTTCTCTTGGCTTCTTTATCTGTTGTTCGTATAATCGCAAACCATTTTTGTCAAATTTCCTTAGGATGACTCTGGCGAAGAATGTAGCTGTATTTTCCAAAGGTATCTTCATTGACTTAAGCCCTTGAATACTGTTTTTGGTAGTATCTAGCATCTGCTTCACGCTGTTTGTTGACTCGGTGTCCATTGATGGTTGATCCAAAATTGCGTCAACCAATTTGTTGAAAAGTACTCTTCGATTTTCGTACCTTTCCTTCAATAATTCCAACGCCTCTTCATAATCGCTATCTTGGGTTCGAAGATGTTGAATTATGCGGCTCGCTTCTCCTTTTACAGCCGCTTTCAGCCTATGCATTTTTTCCACGTTGGTGTAGTATGGTGCGTCGTGCACTAGGCTTTTAAATAAGTCATGAAATGATTCCCATTCACTTATATTTCCCATGAATGTAGGAACTTCAATTTCTTTTTTATTTATTATTGTATAAGGCCTATCGACCTTTTCTGCTTTTTTCGGTTGAGTCTGTCTGATTTCTGCTGCTCTAATTGATTTCTTCATTAATAACTGTCTCCATTGAGCCGCAATATCCGAGTCGAATCTGACCTCCTTTTCAGCGGCATTTATAAGACCTTCGGTGAATTTATACGCATTATCCAGCTCATCTTCTGTTTGAAGGCAATCCATCATATCCATGGTCTGTTCCATATGTTGTAGCAGACCTCTTGTCTCCACCTCGTACTTGGTCAGTGCCGAGCCTTCGATCGATTCGTCTTCTTGGGAATATGGCTCCATAGCCGCATCCCTTCTTTCCCCAGCCTTTTTACTGAGATTTGAAGTCCCCTCGTCTTTTGTACTCGCCGTCACTACCATTTTCCTTGCCGTAGCCTCCTTCTGACTCGGCTTTGGAGAGATTAGCAATTCATTCATTGCATCCCTTTCTTCATTGTCGTGGATACGCTTTGTTGTTTCAATTTCAAGATTGTTACTGTTATCTGCCACCACTAGTCTATTTTCCGTTTCGTCTTTGAAACAGCTCTCATCTTCAGACTGCATACCTTCAGTTTCAGCGTTTTTCTTTCTCATCTTTTCAATTAATTTGCGGATGTCCATCACCAATTGCGGCATTGATGAGACTACTTCGCTGTTCTGGTAGTCACCGAATGTGCCAAACTGAGTTATTATAACTTCGTGATTTTTACGGAAGTTTCCATATTTTTCCTCGAGCGTCCTTTCCATGACTGCCAATCTATTAGGACGTGTTGGTTCCTCCAACTGGCTCTTCAGATCTGACAGAACGTGGTGGATATCTTTTTGGGCATCGCATAATTGTGTAAATTTCTTCATTTTATTTTATTTTTTTAATTATTAATTTTCACTGGTTCTTTTTTTTTTAAATTAAGGTTTCGAAGGACCAAACTGTTCGCGGAAGAAATGAACGCACCGTTGGAATATTTTTACTACACCGAATTTATTTATTAAAAATATTTCTTAAGAACTAGTTATGATAATATGACTTAACCTAAATTATCATTAAGTGTAAATGAGAGAGAGATAGATTCTAACTGTACACATGCATATGCACCATGCCACCATAAACCTTAGGAGGAGGTCATACACACACATAGCTATCTTACATGTGGCAAGCAAACATGCTGTACTTGCTTATCAGTCTGAGTAAAGATTACATCCCATAATCTAACTCCACCATAATACATGCAGCAACTGAAAATTCTGTATTATTTATTTCTAAATCGAAGGTCTGCTCACTGCAGTTTCTTATCTTACTTAAAGACCCCCACATGCTTGCCCCTTTGGTGTTTGTATTTATTTGTGGACTGTACATTTGTTAACAATCCTTTCCACAACTTATCTCCTCTATTCAACTAAAATAATTTTATGAAATCTGTTCACTCATCCGTGAACAACTTGTTTTAATATAATATTTAATATAAGTGATATCATGCACGCTATAGTAACCTATAACTGCTCTTAAGTCAAATGTTGATTGGTGGTATGATCTACTTGAAAGAAATAATAAATACCATTTGACTTTTCATTACTGGTCGTACCTGACTTAACACTGTAAAAAGTATTGGGAGTTGCAAAGTTCGCTCAAAATTGCGCTATCATTTCTTGTTCTATATATTAAATTATTTTTCTTGTACAAATTTTGCCCTTTTGTGGGGGAGTTCGGAACTCGATCTATCTATATATATAAAAATCAATTGTTGTTTGTTGGTAACGGAATCAGTTGAAAACGGCTGGAGCGATTTGCATAATTTTTTGTGAAAACGTTCGTCATACCCCGAGTTAGGTTTTTAAAGAAAAAATATTGATCACGCCTCCTTTTACGCCCACTATTACGATTTATCTAAAATCTTTATATTTGCCAAAATAATGAAGATATCGGTTTGAGAATTATTACACGAGATGCTGTTGGCTTTCCATCCAACCCTAAGTACTTATTTAGGGGCTGAGGAACGCGCGTACTTTTAAATCTATCTCTCTATATGTAAAAGAAAGTTGTGTTAGTTACTAATTTTTTAACATAAAACCGCCGGTCTGATTTTAACGATTTAGACAAATTCGGAATTGCCTCTTGGCAGAAAAGAATAAAATCCAAAAAAAAAAAAAAAAAAAATCGCGTAAAAATGTGAAATTTGATCATTTTCATTTTGACTATTTTCGAATGTACATTTGTAGTGTTTTTTTTTTTTTTTTTTTTTAATTCTAATATGATGGGAAGTTTTTTTTTGGGTTGTATAAAGCCACAAGGGATAAAACTGTTATTTATAGATTTTTATTTATTTATTCGTAATACCCAATAAATGCATAAAATCTATAAATAACAATTTTATCCGTTGTCGCTTTATATGAAAATTTTAAAATCGGTAAAAATCGACAATTTTTCAATGGAATCGAATTTCTAAATAATAGTACATTCTACCGACAAACTTCGTAAGGGCCTTTAAAAAATTGCCGCAAAAAAATCATCGAACCAGTTGAAGATTCTTTTTCTTTTTTCTATATTGAAGTGTAAATTTTTTTATTGGTTTGAATTCTGAATGAATAATATTAAAAATGAAATGAGGGCGCAATACTATGCTAAATGCTTTCTACTCCAGGACCTACATCGTGCTTCAGCTGGAAGATGCGAACACATTTAAACAAACAAAAATGACCGAAGAAGCGTTATGGGGTTAATTTCAAAAAGTGGACCTGCTTCTTTCATATGACAATAAATTGTCAAATGAGAACACAAAATGCAAAATACATTGGGACTGCAATCAGTCAAATACCGACTATAAAGAACGCAAAATAGAAATTCTGCCTAAACATTCAAGATACCTTTAATCGCTTTGGCAGGTATGGTATGGATCATAACCCCTGATAACGGAACAACCCGATTTCAAGTATATTCTACATTTTAACCATATTTTTCGTACTAATTTTAGCTTATGTTGATAATTTAAGAAGAAACCATCTTTGCAAATAATTATCACGTTGTGGTATCACCATCATATGATTTAAGGTATTTTCGGGGTCTTGACCACTTTTTTCATTTTTTGACCCTTATTTGACATCTTTGTTTCTAAGGGGGAAGAAAACCTCTTCTTATAATTTTTTTTCGGAAAAGTGCGCATCTTAGTCTTGAGGCTACCTGGGGTAAAAAACACTGGGGTAGAAAATCATCTTACAGATAATTATCCTCATAGGAATTTATTTAAGTATAGTCCCCACATTAGTATACCCCCAAGTTCACTTTCCCTACCAATGTGTGGTCAGAAAAGAAAATTTGGTATTCTATTGAATTTGTAACCCCCAAGAGAATATTGGTTGGGAACGTAGATTTGGGATGTACGTCTATATGAAATAAACTCCGAAATGTCAATCTGTCAATCATTACTCATAATCAAGTCATTACTTATAATCAAAATTGGAGTAATTATAATGGCGTCATTACTTATAATCAAAATTGTGCCGCATACATAAGTCAGATATGTGATTTATTATGCTTTAAAGACTAAAAAAAAATTATTACACGTGATACTGTTGACTACCCATCCAATCCTAAGTATTTATTTGGGGGCTGAGGAACTAACCACGCCTACCTTTTAATCTTAATATATCAATATGTATAAAAGAAAGTTGTGTTAGTTACCACGCTTATGCTTCAAGAACCGCTTATCTGATTTTAACGATTCAGACAAATTCAGAATGGTCTCTTGACAGAAAAGGAGAATATCCAAAAAAAAAATGCGTAAAAATGTGAAATTTTAAAATTTTCATTTTGACTTTTGAAATGTACAATAGTAATGTTTTCCATTTTGACTTGCTATTTTCTAATGTACATTTGTAGTGTTTTTTTTTAATTCTAATATGATGTGTAGTCTTTTTGGGGAGTAAAAAGCGACAATGGACAAAACAGTTATTTATGGATTTTATGTATTTACTGGGAAATTGGAATTTTACGAATAATATCATTTTAGAAGATAATAGGCTATGAACCAAAAAAATCAATATTTTAATTACTTTTTAAAACGCTAAAACATCACGAAAAAGGCAATCTCATTGCAAAAATTATAAAATCGGGAGAAAATGAAAAACAAATTAATGGAATGGTAAGGACCTTCAAACATTTGCGGTAAAAAAAATCAGCGAACAAGTTGAAGGTTTTTTTTTTCAATCTATATATATATATATATAAGTCTATTGTTGTTCGTCGGTAATGGAATCAGCTGAGAACGGCTGGACCGAGTTAGGTTTTTAAAGAAAAAAATATTGACCACGCCTACTTTCACTTGATTTATCTAAAATCCTTATATTTGTAAAATAATGATAATATCGGTTTGAAAATTATTACACGAGATACTGTTGACTTCCCATATAACACTAAGTATTTATTTGAGGGCCGAGGAACTGACCACGCCTACTACTTAATCTATATATATATATACAAATCAATTGTTGTTCGTTTGTAATTAATTCAGTTCAGAACGGCTGGATCGATTTGGATATTTGGATAAATGTTCGTCCTACCCTACGTCCAAATTTCAAAAAAAAAATCCGGTGAATAATGTCGCTAAAATCATCAAAATACCGAATATCAGGAGGTACCGTTATATAGTGGGTATACGAAGACGTAGGGTGCAGTATCCACTACGAACTACAAATACGAAATTTGAAACAATTCCGGTGAATAATGTCGCTAAAATAATTAAAATACCGCATATCTGGAGTTACTGTTATATGGGGGCTATACGAAGAAGTGGACCCACACAGACACTTTTCTGTCATAGGCTGTTATTACGAACATCAAATACCAAATTTGAAAAAACTTTAAAAGTGTTGACATATCAATGTTCTCATATCATGGTTCTAAGTCAACATTTATATCAAAGTTTAGTTTTTTTCAAAGAGAAAAGCTTAACTTTTCATCTTTATTAGGTTCTTAAAAATATGCATTATACACTAATGCTACGGGCCAGCAACGCGGTCCGGGTCAGCTAGTGTTTTATAATAATCTTACGATATACCCAGTGTGGATCAAATCGGATACTATTTTCGAGAGTTATCATTCTCACTAACCAGACAGGCAGACGAACGCACACCGCTATATCGGCTCCAAATGTCCTGAAACGGAGTTGGTCCAAAAATACCTAGTGTATCAAACCGTTATTTCGATGAGGCACTTCAAATCAAATGATATATACGATATGTTGCCATATTGCTGAGGGTATACAAAAATCCTCAATTTTGGTTCATAATTTTCATTTCCAAGTGTACTTGAGAGTACCTGGTTTATAGGTTAAAATTTTGTATGGTCATGGAAGTCCATATTTTGGCATCGTTCTTTCTTTGGGTTTTTGTCATATTTTCCATTTAATTTCAGACAATTTTGATACTTTGGGTTGTAATTATGTAGAAACGCTTTCAGTAGAAAATTTTCCAAGTAGTTTAATTATGTGATCTAACCTATTATATAGCTCAAGGATATGTTTTCGCCGATGTACAAACTTTGTTCTGCAGCATGGTATTTGTGTTTGATCAATATATGTGATGTGATGTCTTATGGGGGCTCTATTTCCAGTCCCAAAATCAAATTCAAACATTATTTATATCTTGGTCGCCGTTGAGGTTATACAATTTTCGAGGAACACATATAAACCTCAATTATTATTAGGTATTTAATTATATTTTAGTTTTTTTCTTTGTTTATCTTTTTAGATTTTTTTCTTGAGCTTGGACTGTCTAATTATTCTACCCCAATCTGCCATCCGTATATTTGTTCCTTAATATTATCACAGAGCAAATAAGCTGAGATCTGCTGTAGTAAACAAATA